AGCAGGGCGCCTGCGTGCTCCCGGCGCGCTCGCTCCCACTCGCCGCGCCGCGCCCGGGGCCCGAGGAGGCCCCGCCGAGCGCCGGCTCCCGAGGCGCCTTTTCCTGCGCCCGCAGCCCCCGCCTCCCACCTGGGAGGTTGCACCTCCAGCCGCCGCCACCGCCGCCGGGACTGCAGCACGCCCTCCTCCCTCGGGGCTGCGCCGGGTAATTGCAAACCGGGGCTGTGCTGCCCCCTGCCGGCCCGAGCGCCCCCTGCTGCTGTAGGTGTGCTCACGTGTGTACACGTAGGTGAGCACACACGTGTTTCCGGCGTCCCGAGCCCGGAGCCCTGGAGCCGCCAGAGTCTCCCCCAGCCTAGCAAGGAAAACGGGGCTTCATGCCCTACAGGAGCCTTGTTCTGGAGGCCAGAGAGAGAGAGAGAGAGAGAGAGAGAATAGCGTTCAGTGAAGGCCCTAGTGGGCCCTCAGTTGCCCCTTCTGGAAAAGGAGAGGGGAGCACTAGATGATCTACAATGTCCCTAGTAAGTTAAGTTCTGTCCGTTTAAAATCTCAGAGCTGGAAGGGCCCTTATAGCCATTCCAGTCCAACGGACTCGATCCAAATAAGGAAATTGAGGCCGGACAAGGAGGAAGCGTACTTTTCCAACCTATGCCTCAGAAAAAACACCTTTCCTCAGGAAGCTTGTGTGCAGTATTGAGGCAGAGGCCCGCATAAATAAACAACCATAACTGAAAAGGCTGGTAAAGGTCCGAGGCAGAGACCAGTGTTTATAAACCATGCCCCTCCGGTATACACATTCAAGGCCTGCTTCCGGGAGAAGTGGGTCGTCCCGTGTTGCTGAAAGGAATAGTGAGGAAGAGGAGGTTGAAAGGAGGGCAGGCCTCTCCAGAACAGGAACACTGCTGTTTTTTGTGCCTGGCACTGTGCTAAGTAAGCCCTTTCCATTCATCATCTCACTTAATCCTCAGAATAACTTGGTTCTATAGCCGGTGTTATCCCCCTTGTACAGACTTGGAAGTTTAGGGCGCTTAAGAGACCCGCTCCAGATTTCACCGTTAATAGGGGCTCGTTCACAGAGCTTCAAGGCTGTTGCTCCTAACCACTGCCAGGCTGAGACACCTGGCATGATAAACAGTGGAGGTTTCTGAGAGGCACGGAAGGAGGCAGTGGTCGCAGCAAAAGGGACAGAGAAAAAGGGAGGGACGGATTCAGGAGGCATTCCAAAATAGGCATTTTTTGAAGATCAGGCACAGTCTTAGGTGATTTCGTGGATGATATTTTCATTAATCCTCACTCCAACCCTTCCAGGTAGTTCTGTTTATCCCCATTGACTTACGTGGAATTGGGGGCTTAGAGGAGTAATATCCTTGCCTGAGGTCTCCGAGCTCCTGCATGGCAGCCGCAAGCACGTTCACTTGTTGTATAGTGTTCTCTGTGTGCCTCTCCAGGGCTCTACTATGTGACATTGTATTGTGAAGGGGCATCTGCAGTCAGCCTTCGGATACCCACTCTGCCTGCCCTAATACAAGACCAGCAGCAAATTGGTGTTCAGAGGTAGCCCAATCTACTTGCTGGTTCCTAAGGACAGCTCATTTCCTACTGGATAGCCCAAAAGTAATGTGGTCGACCGAATAACGTCCTCCCGGAGATGTCCACATCACAATCCCCTTTGCAGAGATGACTAAATTAAGGAGTTTGAGGTGGAGAGATTATCCTGGATGATCCAGTTGGGTCCAGTATAATCCCAACGGTCCTTATAAGAAGGGGGCAGGAGGGTCAGAGTCAGAGACAGTGAGGTGCCATTGGCAGCAGAAGCCAGAGTGATGGGTCCAGGAGCCAAGGCATACAACTGCTAGAATCTGGAGAAGTTAAGGAACAGATGATCTCTCCTAGATATTCCAGAAGGAATGCAGCCTTTGATTTTAGCTTGTAAAATCCATCTCAGACTCTCAGCTTCTAAATTGTACAGTAATACATTTGTGTTGTTTTAAGCCACTGAGTTCGTGGTAATTTACTTCAGCAGCAACAGGAAATGAATACAAGTGCAGTATCGTTATATTAGTTTGGTGCATTATGGTTTTCTTTTTTCTTTTTTAATGTTTATTTGTCTTTCGGGGGGGGGGAGGGGCAGAGAGCGAGGGAGACACAGGATCCGAAGCAGGCTCCAGGCTCTGAGCCCAACGCGGGGCTCGAACCCACGAGCCATGAGATCAGGACCTGAGCCAAAGTCTGGTGCTTAACTGACTGAGCCACCCAGGTGCCCCGCATTGTGGTTTTCAAAACCAGCCCTCCACCGTGAGCCTCATTCAGCTGGTGATTTATTCACTGTCATTGTCTCCCACTAGACGCCAACTTCTGTGAGGACAGGGCTTTTTCTTATTCATCGTTGTATCGTCATCTAGTACCTAGATTGCCGTCTGGTGAGTAGTAGATGTTCAAGAGAACCACTTCCTGCATGAATGCAGGATCTTATTTCATTGTCATGTGGCCCTATGGGGGTACCTACCTATGGTAGGTATGGCTGTTGCCTTTTAGGGATGGGGAAGATGGACATCAGAGCGCAGCCTAAGCCCACACTCCTGTCCCCTGACTGTAGATTCCCTATGCTCCCGACAGCACCGCATCATCTAGAATCCCAGGGGGACTCCATGTGGCTTTAGGTTCACCTCCACTTCCTCTGCATCGGGCACCGTACCCTACTTGATCTCACGCAGTCCTCATCACTAGAGTAATTTAAGCACTATTTTCTCTACCACGCAGAGCAGAAACAGAAGCTCCCGCCTTCCTTTGATTAAATTTCATGTCACTCAGGTTTCAACCTCAGAATTTCAACGTTTGATGAGCCAGCTGGCATTTTGTCCGTTCACAGTGCTATTATTTCAATGATTGCTCTGTCTTAATCTTTGCCTTTTGGACCTAAAAGTCTCTGTCCCTGTTAACTGAGGTCTATAAAATTCAAAAATTTTAATTGCCGTTTCTCAGACTGCCTCTGGCTCAATGTGAACGGGCCAGAACTGCACAGGTATCCTGTCTGTCAATACATCACTCTTTCCTGAGACTTTCGGCCCTCAGACCGTGATTCAGAAGCCCCAGTATGTCCCCCTGCATTTCTGTCTAGAACCATCTTGAGCTGAAGTTCCCAAGAAACCGCGCTAAATCCCAGGTCCTTTTCTCGGTCATTAGTAGTAGCTTGACTTCCTGAGTTTCACGGGCCGAGTTTAGAACTTCATCTCTAGAATCACCCTCTTGCCTTGTCCTGGTTAAAGCTCAGCTCCCACTTTTTCACCCACTTCCTCAGGTTCATGAGAGCTTCCCATCGGGCTTGTCATCACTGCTCCAAGAGCTTCGTATCATCAGCAAACCTTGGAGAGTTTCTTATGCACTCCCTTCCTCTGGAGTAGTTTTACATGTTAATTAAACAGCCCTTAGCCCTGTCTCTAAGGAACTCCTTTCAGAAATGCGCCATTTATCCCTATCCTTTGTTTCCTGGCTCATTTCCTAGACTCAATAAAATTGTGCCCTCATTCCATCAGACTCATTTTTTCATAGAACAAGATTGCACTTTAGTATATGTTCCTATTTACTCCCTTGTAAAGTTTTCTTTCCATAGACGTTTACTGAGACCTTACTAGGTACCACAAAGCCTTCCCTACCCTTTTTAGTATTTAATTAATGGCTGCCTAATCTTTCTGGTATTGTTTCACAATAATAGCTATCATTAATTAAAGACTGTGTAGTGGGCAGCTGTGGTTTCTGCTAGCCTATATTTCGGGTTACAAAGTTTGGGTTACTTTGCAAACTCCTTCACCTGCACTGAGAGGCCTGATGATCTAGGCGAAGCTGACCCCATCCCCTGCCTCAGGTTTGGCACACGATCAGTCCTGGCTAATCAGACCATTGCATTTCCACAGACCTGTTACTGGCTCAAGAGTGGGTAGTAACCCACGTTGGGCCAATGGAGGTCAGCCCGGGACCTCTTGTTGAAATTACCGGGAACCAGCAGTGTTAAGTCTACGTTGCTGTGTGGGCCCATATTGACGCCACATGCAGAAAGCCTGAGATGATAACAACACAAAGAGAAGCGGGCCAAGAGACGGAGAGACATCAATTTCATATGACAATTCAATTTTTGCCTGCCTGGATCCAGCTGTGCCTGAAGCTACCCCCTGGAATTTACAATTTAAGGAATGAATCAGATTAGAATGATGATTTTTTCCAGGTCCCAGATCTTTCCTCTCCTTCATTTGCTCTATTTTCCAAACACAAAGCATAAGCATTGTTTTAAGTAGACACTTACTTTGTTCATTCTTAACCGACTGAGCTACCCAGGTGCCCCACTCTTTTCATTCTTTAAAGGACTTGTCTTGGGGCGCCTGGGTGGTGCAGTCGGTTGAGCATCCGACTTCAGCCAGGTCACGATCTCGCGGTCCGTGAGTTCGAGCCCCGCGTCGAGCTCTGGGCTGATGGCTCAGAGCCTGGAGCCTGTTTCCAATTCTGTGTCTCCCTCTCTCTCTGCCCCTCCCCTGTTCATGTTCTGTCTCTCTCTGTCCCAAAAATAAATAAACATTGAAAAAAAAAATTAAAAAAAAAAATAAAGGACTTGTCTTCAAGCAAACCATTAGCAAAGCAATACTCATCACTGAATGGTCCAGAAATAAATGGAGAGTTAACAAACCATCATCCAAATTTTTAGATACAGAAGTGGCAGTGACAAAAGGACTTCTGAGTGACTACAACTGATTCCCAAATTTGTATTTTTAGCCAACCCTTCCCCCTGCTCCAGATCGTATTTCTGACTTCTTCCTCAGCATCTCATTCCTAGATCTCCATTTCAAACATCTACTATCCAGCCCTCTGTCTAGACTCAAAAGATCAACATCTGGAGAGAATTGGGTGTCCCCCCCACTCCCCCGATGCCAGCCCTAGCATGGGTTTCCTATCTGAGGACCCATTTTGTCCCTAGCAGGTGTGCATCCTGCTTTGGGAAAACACCTGTGGCTCTGGTGTGATAGTCCTAACATTCACACTGGAGAGGCACTCAAAGAGTAGAAAGGGGGCATTTTCCACTGCCTACTCACCCTGCCACCTCCCTGCCTACATCTCCAACGTTACCCCTCACATTGGACATTCCTGATGAGCTTGCCTTTCTCTTACTCTCTTAGCCAGCTGCTTACCTTTTCTTCTTTTCTATCCGGTGCTCTAAAATCAGTGTCATCCTATAGAACTTCTACAACGAACATTCTGTAACTGTGCTGTCTAATATGACAGCCACTAGGCACATGTGACTATTGAGCACTTGCAAGATAGTGCAACTAAGGAACCAAACATTTAATGTTGTTGCACTTAAATTTAAATTTATTTATTTATTTTTTAAAAAATTTTTTTTTTCAACGTTTATTTATTTTTGGGACAGAGAGAGACAGAGCATGAACGGGGGAGGGGCAGAGAGAGAGGGAGACACAGAATCCGAAACAGGCTCCAGGCTCTGAGCCATCAGCCCAGAGCCTGACGCGGGGCTCGAACTCACGGATCGCGAGATTGTGACCTGGCTGAAGTCGGACACTTAACCGACTGCGCCACCCAGGCGCCCCTAAATTTAAATAGCTATGAATGATTCATGGTGGCCACATCAGACAATGCGGGACTAGACATCAATCACCCCTACACCATCACTTACAGCTGGGTTCATCTGCCTAGTCCCTGCTCCAGTCTTGCTGGGAGAGTCTAATTCCAAGTAGTGACCCCTTTTGCTCTGTCCAAGACTACTGGCATCAACCTTCCCATGCCCAGCCGAGTCATAAGATGACAGCTCTGGTCCTCTTTGCCATCAAGTAAAAAGCCCATCTTCTGTCAAGTTGGTCAAAACCAAGGCAAATTGCTCTTTTGTGGCAAGGCCCTTGGCAGCTGGGCTGGTGGCTGAGGAGAATCTGCTTTTGAAATCCTGCTACAGCTCAGAGCACGCCGGGGAAGCAGTCTTCCAATAAGCGAGGCTTCCATGACTCACTGGGGTTAATTAACCCTGTACAACCGAGGTACAGGAGCCACAGACACAAAAGGAACCCTCCCCATCACCTCCTTTTCTGTTGTAGACTTCAAGTCCTAGTTCAAGCCACGGAAAGATAATTTGAAGAAAGAGAAGGTAGTAGGTAGGGTCAGATGCATGGCAGTGAAGGTTTAAGGGGAGTGAGGTCCGTGACGGGCCTCTGAAGTAGGCTAGTGGAGAAGAGCTGTGGCCCACATGGTGGGAGCAGCCAGTGGATTACACAATTGAAGAGAAAATGAGAGCAGGGTAATGGAGTTGGTAGAGCCAGACCACTCGCTTTGAAAGCTTAGCATCAAAGGAAAGCGGTGAAGTATCAAAGAAACAACACGGGAGTTCTGTTGGACTCTAGTC